CCAGCCAGCTGGCGACGAACGGTTGCCCCCCCCCCCCCCAAAAAAAAGCAACTCCAGGCTAGATCCGCCCCTGTGTTTATTCTAGGTCAGTCACATTGTTTGGGCTTTAGAAGGTCATAACACAGAGAAACTGGCAGAATTGTTTGGATTGTTAAAGGAAATGTTTCCCTTTTGTACGGCGTTTAGAGCTGAAATACCCATATTGAAGATCATCCTGTGCAGATCACAGCCCAGCCCTTCTTACGTTTTAAGCCTGTGAACGAACCATTGGCTTAACCTATATAATTCAACGACGAAAAATGAACTTCTTTTCCATGTTACGGTGCCACTGGGAAAATGCGCCTATTGACACCTATTTGGCATCCTTTCTGCCCATTTTTGAATGGGCCACTCCGGCCACGTCCCTGCTGATCCGCACATTTTCCCTCGTACCCGCTCTGCGCGGTCTCTGCATGGCGTCTGGTGCAGTGTGACACATTCTGAACTTTCCTCTCATTCTTCCGACATTTGAACAAAGCTACGGCCACGGGCGTATTTACTTGCGTTTAGATCGGAGCAACCAAGTCACGTAGGCAGTGATCTTGAGTCTTCATCAAAGTCAGGTAGGTCACTTCCCAGTTCAAGCTATGCCGTCGACTGTGACCTAGGACGATGTGAGCTTCAACTTGAACCTGAGTCCGCCTATGTCCGCCCCTATTCGCGGACGCAGACCGCCCTATTCCTCTCCGGCCAACGGTGCGTATGCAGCGGGAACAAAGACTGCTGGATTTCTGCTGAGCGGGCGGGGCGGCCGCAGTCCAGAGTAAGGTCGCTGCGGCACTCCTGCCTACCTGGTGGCAGCTCGGCGAGTGCTGGGAGGCTACGCTGCGCCGGTGTGACGCTTCGGAAGGCTACGCAGATCCGCCTTTGACGAAGAGCATGCTCGGTGAAGCCAGGCCAGGTGGACGAGCCGTGACTTGGCCGTGATTACGAGCATAGGAAGCCTGACGCCCGCCATCGGGCACTGAAGAAGACATTGACGCTTTCTGGACAGGTAAGTCTGTCGTCGAACCCCTGTTATGTGTTTTTTGGGACGAAGATTTCGGAAGCCTTGACTCGACCGCATTCAGTGTGAAAATGTGTCCACAAAAGTGATGCCGCAATTCACGTCTTAACCGGCGCAGTGCAGGGGATTGAAACGCCCTCACTGGCTTTCGGCGAAAGCAGAAACTAAGAAAGAAAGACGGACACAAAACAATGCGCTGAGATTTTAAGTACGAGGCCATGACCATTTGGACACCTGCCAGAATTTTGACCCACTTTGAAAACGTCGCTGACTCAGGTTAGTTTACAGAGCATAACCACTTATAACTTTGTCGACATGAACCGATGTTAAATCCTACAGGAACGATGCAACATCACAAAGCCAGGGATCAAGCAACTACTCAAGGATGACGAGAAACTCATCGTACTCATCGTAGAAACTCATCCGACATAATATTCACGGAAATATAGATTGTCATGGACCATGATGTAATACTTATTTACTTGAACGAATTACAGGTTAGCGCGAGGTCGGACCCAGGCTCAGCCTACTGCGGGCATTGTTGCGCCCTAGTGCCAAAGATCAGTTCAAAATTGCTAGCTTCGGTGCCAACCAGTGATGGAACTGGCACCATTGATTGAACTGTGTACAACTTATGATGTTTTGCACCGCGTGACGTCACAATCACAGTTAGAACGGGCACAGTCGTCTGCTGATATTGATTCGTCCGCAAGCGTGTGATAACTTCGGTCCGGCGCCGTGACGTCACTCCATCATGGCGGCCCCCACGGCGGAGGCACTAGTGCGTCACTGGTTCTGATCACAGCACAATTCTCGCCGCGATTTATTCTTGCTTGCGCCTCAACTGTCAACCCTGTAAGAGCAGACGAGGCAGGAAGCGCCCGCGAGACTGCTGTAAGTTCCTTATTGAAGGTAGCCTGTAAGTCTTTATTCTGGATTAGGAGCCCCGCATTTGCACCGGAAGGCCTTTTTCAGGAAAAGGGGGCTCTATTTCACGTCAGCGAGACCCCTTGCTGGATAATTAGAACGCCCTCTTGAATTGTCTAACTGTCGACATCAATTCACTTGAATACGATGCATGAAACCGTTTGATAATGGAGCACATGTCCTCGGTGTCCCTCCCCTTGAATACGACGCTGCGAGGAAGGTCCCCTGTAAGGAGGTCCCCTTTTGTCCGGGAAGCCCCTCGAAAATCTTGCCCCCAAAGGTTAAAACCCGCGGCGCCACCAATGCTAGGGTGACAAAACAGCTCGAGGTCCACGTAAACAGACTAAGGAAAGGGCATTGCATCCCGCTGAAGACGATCCAATTGCTGGAGTGTGTTGGTCAAGAACTTCATATATATCGTGAAGGCCTGTTGCAGTGTAATAAATTTAAAAAATCAGAGTAGATGTCCTTTTCCTTTATCAATTGTACGCCAATATCTAGGGACCTCAATTGTGCTGAATTCCTTGCTCACTGCAATTTATAGAATTGAAAATAAGCATAGCCGTGTGCTCATTGTATCGGATTAAAACAGCAATGGACGATGCCGATATTCCAGATTTGGTCATTTCCCTAAACCGCTCATTTTTGTTTTTATTTGATACTTTGAGCACTAGGTTACTCTATTTTCTATCCTACAAAATTTTACCTCGCTTATAAGCGCGCTTCAAATCCCACAGCCCATCACGCCAGGCTAAGCAAGTCAACGCAAAACTGTTGTGATATTCGATGCAGACCATGACCTGCTTGTACTGATTGCAGACCGGGCCGCTGAGGATTGGCGTGCCCCCCACACACATCGGTGGACCACCAGCATGGCGCTGAACAGCTGCTGCTGCTGCATTCCTCTGCGTCCGGGCGCCATGGTGATCGCCATTTTGTACCTGGTCGGCAACTTGTGCATGCTGATTGGCTGGACGATTTTTACTGTGCTTTCGCTCTTCTTCATGTCACCTGCTGATTATGACGAGCACCCTCAGTATTACAAGAAACGAAACATGATATATCTGTGCGTTCTTCTTGCACTCGCCATATTTTGCAGCATCAATATTACAATGGATAGTTTGCTTGTGCACGGCATTCGTAAAAACAGGCGCAAGTTCATATTACCCTGGGTCATCTGGTACTGCATCTTCACGACAGCCGCGACGCTTGCGTGGCTGGCATTAGTAGCCTGGCTGGTGACTTTGGTCGTTAAGGAAACGAGTGATTTGATCGCGGTACTAATATTTTTGCTCTGCTTCAGTGTGACGATCGGACTGATCGTGTTTCTCGTCATGTGGTTCTGGTATGCTTGCGTGACATCGTACTACAATCTGCTGTCACCGAATTACGACCATTATGCCATGGAGCCTCTTCGTATAGCAAGGATGGTTGATCATGGAATTCCGCCGTAATTTTGAACGTGTACCTGTGGTGGCAGGATATGTCGCGATACTCGCTCGGCATCCAGTAGAATGTGCTGAAAAAGTGAAACGTGATCTTTTATGAAAGCTCGGTGTTTTTTTATTTTGGTTCGATGAGTACGAATGCAGCGGTAGAGCATTCCCCAAATAAAATCGCTTTAGCTAACCGTTTTTTAATTGCAAAATTTTTGTTGATTTACACCGTTTATGTGCTCGTCGGCAAAATTTCCGTTTTAACGCTGCCTGTAAAGTAATCTAAAAATGACTTAACAGCAAAAGTGGAAGCATGTTAAAAAATATCCGACCGTTCTCTTTTCAGTTATACCTCAACTGCTTGGCAAACGTTGCAGTTCACATCTGGTAATGACAGGAGCGTTCAGACAATTTTTGCGTCCTCCAGGGGCTCTTCACCTGGCTCGACGCACATGTCAGCAGGGATACATTTCTTAATCGATTTTCGAGCACTCTTTGGCAGCAGAGCGTATCTTTAAAGCATGGAGTGTGTGATTTGAGCTGTTCCGGTAAGGCAACCCTCGAGCAATATACCCAGCATTAACTAAGCCCTGTGAACGAAGAAGTCGTCATCAAAATAGCTCTTGGGCCGCTAGACTGTGTATCGCCACAATGTATGACTGGAATCAATCTGAAGCAAGTGTATCCGATGCATCAGTGCTACCACATCCTGGGCGAACTACCACACCTCTCCTGTACAGAGCCCTTTTGCAAAGCGTTTGGAAATGGTTATGGCATCAAAAACGCAAATCTGTGAGCTTCGAAACCCCCACTTCGAAGACGATATTTCAGGCTGATGCATGAGCACGCATTCAACCGCTCACTGCAACCTAAACTGAGCCCACGAGCTTCAGTGCTTTAGCAAGTTATCCTTCATCACCGTCCTCCAATGTTCCATTCGTATACTGGCTGGCTGTAGTGTATGCTATGCCGAAATCCGTGCACAAATACGATGTCTACAACAAGCCCTTGTAGGTAGAGCAAAATTGGCTTCATGAGCCCACAATGCCAAACGTGCACCACGCACCACTTGTCCATCCACAGCGCCCAGTTGGTTAAAGCGCCTGCCGCCCGCTTCACCAACTGTGGTGTGGTGCGTTCGAGTCGCTTTATGTGCTCGCTATTTGATGCTGGCTGGAATGGCCTGCGGCCGGTGGCGACAGCCGTGCTAAAGGTCCGGTAACGTCGGGGGCCAGGGCGGACCATGTCGACCATTGCGGCACGTTAAGTTTGCGTCACAAAACTCTGCCGCTGACCCGTAATCTGACGATCACATACTGCGGCCAGGGCTAAACCCACAAAAGCTGCTTGGCTTAGGTGCTGGTCTCATATATCAATCCAATCAAAATGTTTTGGAAAACTCCTGTTAACGTACCGCTACGCCATGCATGTACTTCCCTGACCTTTCCTGGCGTTATATTGACGCCTGTATCATTAACCACGGCGTCCACAGTCAATTTGCATTCCATTCGTGGATACCAATCACGAAAGGCTGTTGTCATCCGCTTCATCCAGTTTGGGGCACATGGATCACACAGCTGTTACTACTGGCTCTAGCGGTGCTCACATATATTCCACCACTGGCCATACATATGAAAACAAGTGCCACATGATGAACATATGGCTCCACTTGAGCGGAGGTCACCGTTTTGTCCGCTAAAGGCCCTTCAAAGGCATTAACACAAACTGAACGAGTACATAACATAATGCAATGAGAAAAACTCGTTGCAGTCAGGATGTCAGGTTTGTGATCCCAGCTAACGGTCATTCGATAAAAACAGTGATACAGATGGTACATTGTCGCTTTGCTTGTCCCGCGACAGTCCGTGTCCGAGCGGGCTCCCAGGCCACCTGCCACGCCATTGAGGCGGTACATTGCCGTATTAGTTTGGATGCACACACTGAGCATGACACTGGATTACCATTCGGCTACGATTAGTTATGCGTCTTCGGCAGACTACACCCATCACCCTCGGGCTGACATGACTGTACCTGACGTCCGTACATGTGGTACACAAATACTCGCCACTCAGGAGCTGCGAGTGGCATCGCACGAGCGTGACCTCCCGTCTCCAGACCGAAGTCGGTTGGGCTGACCTGGAGTGTTACACGCGTGTGACCTCCTGTCCTCTGGCATCGACCGGCCGGGCTAGCCACGGGCGCTACACACGTGTGACCTTCTATCCCCTGACATTGACCGGCCGGACTAGCCACGGGCGCCACACGCGCGTGACCTCCTGTCCCCATACTATGAGCCGTCCGGACTTGCCAGGGCGTTAAACACGCGTGTGGTTTCCTCCTGTCCCCAGATCGTCGGCCGGCCGGGCTAGCCAGGGACGTCACACGCGCGTGTGACCTGTCCCCAGATCGTTGGCAGGCCGGGCTGGCCAGGGGCGTCACACGCGAGTGACCTCCTCCTGCTGTCGAACGTCGCCGTTGGGCGCTACCCGTCGCCGGCACCTGCCCAGTCGGCAGGGCGGGAAGCCTCGGAAGGTGGGGCTCACGGGTACGTAGCGGGTCCAGTTCCAGCTGAAACACGCAGCGGCAGCGCGGCACGGTTACAGACGCTAACAGGGGCCAGGCGATTGAGTGATGAAAGTTGCGTATGCGTTACGTTTGTTGCACGCAGTCCTCTGTCCAGCGTACATCCTGGTTACGATCCTCTGTCCGGTGTACACCCTGGTTAAGGTCCCTTGTTCGGTGTACATCCTGGTTGAAGTCCTCTGTCCGGCGTACATCCTGGTTGAGGTCCTCTGTCCGGCGTACATCCTGGTTTAGGTCCTCTGTCCGGTGTACATCCTGGTTAAGGTCCTTTGTTCGGTGTACATCGGATCTGATGCGTACTCACCTGCGGATCTTGGACATGCCGAACGGCAGGTCGTAGGTGGTGATGGGGGCAGTGGTGTCAGACATGGCGGACTGCTGCCGCCAGCGCAGCACGCCCCGCTCCTCGTCCGTGCCTGCCGACAGGGACGGAGCCAGAAATGAATCCATGGGAGGAGGTCTGCCGTCTGCCTCCGAGGCGGAACCAGGAGTGGATCAATGGCGGCTGAATGCCTACGATGTCTACAAGAGATTTGAGTGGAACGATTTTATCAGAGGGTGGGTGGTTGGGACGGCTTTATCCATCGAACGTGTTTCGCGACAATTGGCTTGGGTCGCAGACACTTGGTCCAGTCTCCACGCATTCGCAAAGTTGTGTGGCAGCCCATGGCGGCAATTTGAAAATTGAGCATCAGCCATAATAACAAATCTGAAATGTTTTAACGGGTTTAAGTTCCCGTCGCTTTGGAAAGTTTTTTAAAATATTATTGCTCTGAGTTGTCTCTGTTCACTGGTCTGTCCCGTGCCCATCCATCCTCCTGAACACACACCACAGTGAACAACAATTCGGTGCAAAACGCACGATGCATGCTTAACAGGATTTCGTATGGTGTTAGCTCAGTGGTGTACAAAACCGTTCTTTTGCCTGCAATAGTCACAGAAACTAAGATTTAGGGTCGAGTTGGCGTAATACGCCAACACGACCTTAAAAAGATGCTCAAGAGCATCTTGGCCGCCATGTAAATATGAAACTCACATACCTTATAACACCGCCGCACTAAAATAAACCAAATAACCCTTCAGCAATCACAGTTCAGCTATTGAGAAGGGGAAATATGAAAATAAAGGGTTTTGTTTTGACACATCAGCCTGGTCAGGTAACCATCTCGTACGATGCAAAGTTTCTACAATTGCAAATGACATAATGCATCTGATCATACTTCGGCCTTTGGGTCGTGACCGTTTGTAAAGGCAGCTTTGTATTCGTATTTACATTCATATTTACATTCAAATGCGGACCTCTACTATTTCGTTCCATTTCTTACCAGTAGTACCCTGATTACTATGGTGCTCCTAGTTTCCCCTTGTATTTAACACAGGGAACGCGATGCACGTCGTCACGGCTCTTTTGTGGCACCCGTTCGCTCTGTCGTCAGCGCCATTGTCAGCTGGAATGCGTGACGTCATGCGTGCTGACGTGCTGAGCATTCGATGCGTGGGCTGACGATAAAGTTTTTTTAACTTTACCTTCCTTTTCCATGACCTTTTCGCTGTTTTAGAGCACACGCCAACTCCGGCTTACCGCTGACCGTGACATGCTACCTATGAAGTGGTGTTTGGAAATGTGGATCCAGTGCTGATATTACCATCATCTGTTCCATCCATAAGCTGTTTGCTTCTTCACATGGTCATCGTGTTTCAATTTCTTGCCTTCTCATTTCAAGTGTTCGCTCACATTTATGTGAAAGGGTCTATCGATCCCTCACTGGTACTTATGCTGGCATGAGGCCCATCCCGTCATGGAACTCCCACTTATACTGACAAAGCCCATGTTCGAGACGCGTGGTGTTCCGTTACTGTCCTTGTCAGCGTGGAGAAAAAGCGCAACCCGATTAAAACATGTCCGCCAGTGGTCTACGAGGTTCATTGTCGTTAAGCTCGGACCCTTACGATTAAACTGAAACTTAAATCAATGATGGCGTTCACATGCTGGTTTCAGTGGTGCATCTCGTTTATCCCGCCACATTCAAAACTACGGCTTCAAGTGGTCTACAAAGTTCAGTTATCAAACCTGGATCCCTACGATGCTTTTTCAAACTCATGCCAATGATAGTATCCCAGAGGCAAAACTGCTCTTGACAGTATGAGGTACCCTGGCATAAAAACTTGAGCCCTGGTCACAGAAATTCAACAGGTTTACATTGAAGCTTAAAAACATCATGACCGAAAGCGCCGTTGATGTTCATCGATACCACAAGGCACATTAGTTGATGTTTGGTAATATGTCGTAAGCAAAGGAGCATTTCTGTAACATTCTGAAGGTTGTAATTTAAAGGTGTCGGTACACGATATTCGCTATTGCTAGTAGCATGCTGAATACTAAAAGCGTGAAAAATAGAATAGATATTCTGGGTCTGGGTGCAATGACTTGACCATTTTAAGACTGTCACAGCTTTCGATGTGGATGAAAAGGAGCGGACCATTGTACTCAACATGTCAAGCTCTGCCATTGATATGAGTTTAAGAAGGATCGCTGGTTCCGAGTTCAGCGACCCTGAGCCTCGTAGCCCACTGGTGGTCATAGTTCTGTCTGTGGCAGAAAACGAGATGTACCATTTTAAGGAGCATGTTAAGCACTGTTAGTGTATGCATCTGATGTACGCAACTACATAGTCACTAGTAAGTAATACTAGTACATTAACACTAGTGATAGCCGTACATAAAATCCTAGGAGCCTACGCCAACCAACGCATATTTTGGGGACCTCTCGATGTCGTAACTTTTGATGGGTTTCAAATTGAGAAGCACCATCGTGATCAGCGTTTAAAACACTTTCATCGACTAGGCTTCGAAAAACCGTCAATGCTCTCGCCCAGAGACCTTGAACTTTTGAATCTGTAATATTAATCACACTTTTTAATGTGTCAGGAAACAACATGCACCGTTGTCCTCAGCATGTCAAACGCTACCACTGACATAAGTTTGAGAAAACCGTAAGGTTCCGGGTTCAACGACCTTCAGCTTCGTGAATCACCAGTGGTCACAGTTTTGAAAGTGACTCAACGTGGTATGCGCCATCGTGATCAGCGTGCCACCGACACTGACAGTGCCAAGCCACCTTACGCCCAGCAAAGGATTCACAAAAAAACAGCATCCGAAAGTGATTCACCGCTTCAGACCAAGTTCCGTATGTTGCCTCAGCACGGCAGCGTTCGTGTCCGGGTGTGTCAGAGCCACTCCGGGCACTCCAGCCACGATTGGCGGCGCTATCTCAGCACGGCGGGGTGTGTCAGAGCCACTCCGGCCACTCCGGCCACGATTGGCGGCGCTATCTCAGCACGGCGGGGTGGGTCAGAGTCACTCCGGGCACTCCAGCCACGATTGGCGGCGCTATCTCAGCACGGCGGCGTTCGTGTCCGGGTGGGTCAGAGTCACTCCAGTCACTCCGGCCACGATTGGCGGCGCTATCTCAGCACGGCGGGGTGGGTCAGAGTCACTCCGGGCACTCCAGCCACGATTGGCGGTGCTATCTCCGCACGGCAGCGTTCGTGTCCGGGTGAGTCAGAGCCACTCCGGTCACTCCAGCCCCGATTGGCGGCGCTATCTCATCACGGCAGCGTTCGTGTCCGGGTGGGTCAGAGCCACTCCGGGCACTCCAGCCACGATTGGCGGCGCTATCTCATCACGGCGGCGTTCGTGTCCGGGTGGGTCAGAGTCACTCCGGTCACTCCAGCCACGATTGGCGGCGCTATCTCATCACGGCAGCGTTCATGTCCGGGTGGGTCAGAGTCACTCCGGTCACTCCGGCCACGATTGGCGGCGGCGATTGGTGCACTCCGGTCCAGACCTAACAAGCCTCAGGGCCTTATTCGGAGTCGTCTGCCGTACAGGGCTCACCCGGGATCGTGTTGTCCAGTACGCAGCCGAGAAAGCCGCCCACGAACATGCTGGTGCTGAGCAGCACATACAGGATCTGGTCGAATGTGTCGCTGCCCGTCCGCACGGCGTCCTTGTGCTCCGACATGTAGGTGGGCAGAATCTGGTGATTCAAGAGAGTTCATGAGTCAGCACACACTCCGGTGACTCTTCCACTGCGCGCTTGGCGAGGCTGCCATTTAGACAAGCGTACAAGCAGACTTTAAGTTTTCAAGGCATGGTTGAATATGCACCGGACGGGCGGCTGCTTGACAGGTTAATTTAATATTTTCATAACACGCACTTAGTAGTCAGAAAATGCACTCAATTAGCAGCCAAACCGGGAGAACGTAACCTGATAGAGTCAATATTATACATACCAATGCAAAAAGTATAGAAAATCCGAGCACGAACAAATTTCTAGAGGAATTGAGGTCGACGAACTGAAGAGAAGAAAATCCTGAAACAAATGAAGTTGTAAGCTAGCAAGCCATCTATTCAAATCCTCAGATGTCCAACGCAGATAGGACACACGCCTTTACCGAGCAATGACACCTGAGGCGAAGCGGAACCTTGCAAGCTACATCTTGCTTGCCCTTGCAATCTCGATGAAGCGTCGACATAAATCGATACAGCACGACGGGCATCTGACCACACGCTGGAAAATATCAGCAAAAAGCATCAAAAGAAACCTCTTACCGACAGCTGTGATCATCGAGAACATGATGATGAACATGCCACCGACAATGGGCTCCGGCATGGTGATGAAGAGGGCCCCGAACTTGCCGGTCATACCAAACAGCATCATGATCACCGCGCCCCACTGGAGCACGCGCCGACTGGCCACCTGCCGGGCAGGACCAGAGACGGTCACAGAACCGCTGGCCGGGCAGAACCAGAGACGGTCACAGGGCCGCTGGCCGAACAGTATCAGAGGTGGCCACAGGGCCTCTGGCCGGACGGTATCAGAAGTGGCCACAGGGCCTCTGGCCGGACGGTACCAGAGGCGGTCACAGGGCCGCTGGCCGGGCAGAACCAGAGACGGTCACAGGGCCACTGGCCGGACGGTACCAGAGGCGGTCACAGGGCCGCTGGCCGGACGGTATCAGAGGCGGTCACAGCGCCGCTGGCCGGGCAGAACCAGAGACGGTCACAGGGCCGCTGGCCGGGCAGAACCAGAGACGGTCACAGAACCGCTGGCCGGACGGAACCGGAGGCGGTCACAGGGCCGATGGCCGGACGGAACCGGAGGCGGTCACAGGGCCGCTGGCCGGGCAGAACCAAAGACGGTCACAGGGCCACTGGCCGGACGGCACCAGAGACGGTCACAGGGCCGCTGACCGGGCAGAACCAAAGACGGTCACAGGGCCACTGGCCGGACGGCACCAGAGACGGTCACAGGGCCGCTGACCGGGCAGAACCAGAGACGGTCACAGGGTCGCTGCCCGGGTGGAACCAGAGACGGTCACAGGGCCGCTGGCCGGGTGGAACCAGAGACGGTCACAGAACCGCTGGCCGGACGGAACCGGAGGCGGTCACAGGGCCGCTATCGCCGCACATAACTTAACCGTACATGACTGGCGACAATCGCTCGCATCAGCGTGGAGTTCTGGAGCCAAGCACCGGAGAATTACGTCCTCCCCCTGCCCCCCTCCCCCTCCCCCCCGATCACTGTCCCAGCAGACGTCTGAGAAGGGCACGTCTGCGGCGGCGGCTCAGGCATTCGCCCACCCACGTCTGCGACGGCGGCTCAGGCAGCCGCTCACACACCTTGGTGATTCCGATGGCGCCGATGTTCTCGCTGTAGCTGGTGGTGCCGTTGCCAGTGCCGAATATGCCGGCCAGCGCACAGCCAATCCCCTCCATGGCGATGCCGCGGTTGATAGCATGCACGGGCGGCGGCGGCGCGCCTGCGAGCATGGGCAGGGGGCGCTATCAACGCCGTCGCACTGTCCACCAGATGACCTTCCGTCACGCACGTCAGGGCACGACCGACGCGGCTCCGTCGTGCACTCTGGACGTAATTGCGTCGCATGCTGGCCGATTACACTGCGTTGTGGATACCGGATGCGACAGTGGGAGGAATGAAAAGTAACGGACTGCTCATGAAAAGCATATGTAACCAATGACGACCGAAATGCTACGAGTTAACTCCGATGGATCATACGCACCATCAGGGGACTCCTATCCCGTCTACTGCACTACCAGCTACCAAGCACCTCAACCGGATCTTACCGGATATCTTGGCGCAGGCGTAGTAGTCACCGATCGACTCAACGATGGAGGCGATCACGCCTGCGAGCATGCCGAACACGGGGCCGGCATGCACGGTCGGCGTGCCCCACTGGCCCGGGTACGGCAGCCGGAACCAGGCCGCCTCGTACAGCGCCTGGCAACGCGCGGCAGACAAGTGGACGGCGCCGCGCGATGGCAGCGGCCTGCCCGCGCAGCGGCCGGCAACACGCAACAGGGCGGCGCGCCTGGCGCTGCGCGGACGCCAGCGAGGTCACTGATAGCTCTGCAGCTGTTTGGACGGGACCGAATGAGCCGTCCCACACGGTGCGTGTGTGGGCGTCACTGGGCTGAAGGATGCGCTCCTGATACTGCGCGCTCCCGCTGCGCGCCCCAGCCTGCGTTCTCGCTCGCCACGCGCCAATAAAAGTGTCTGACAATCCCTGGCAGTTACAATGCAGTGCATGACAGATTCGTAGTGTTTGCCCTCGGTGACGGTTCGTCAGACTCCCGACAGGCCATTCAATACCCGGCAGTTCTGTGCCGTCCTTTGCCTAGCTTAGGTCCAGATCAGGTCGCTGTTGCCACCCACAGAGGTGCGCAGGTCAGTGCGAGCCGGCGAGTCGGGCGGCAACACCTCGCTGACTGTGAGGATGGCGCAGAACACCCAGCTGATGCCGATGCCGAACAAAATCTGCCGGAGGAATACCACGGTGACCATCGGGTTACGGCACCATCCCCGGACTGATTATCAGCTTACGGCGCCAGCTCCGGACACGTCATCAGGTTGCGGTGCCATCTCCGGACAGGTCATCAGGTTACTGCACCATCTCCGGACAGGTCATCAAGTTATTGCACCATCTCCGGACAGATCATCGGGTCACTGCACCATCTTCAGACAGGTCATCGGGTTACGGCACCATCTCCGGACAGGTTATCTGACATGGCACAATGGGTGGTACGGCATCTTTTCACTACTTTATCCGTAATTGACGTGTGCTGCCTGATCAACATCTGAGTAAGTGAGGTACACAAACAGCCCAATATCCAATGCTTACGCTCTATTCACATATGCGAAAGCGACATTGACAGCCGTCGCTTCAAGCATAACAGACGTTCTCAAACGTGCCGGATGGTGACATTATCAGCTTTGTCTTATCAAAATCAATGTCTCCTGCCCCCCCCCCCCCACACACACAATTTTACCGACCACACTCATGCTTGCAACACCCATTTCTCAGCGCAAAAGTCAGCGCAAAAGTCTGCAGCAACAACCAAACAAACACCAATCTTGAAGCCAACCTTCGGACTGGCAATGCCGGCAATCGAGAACCAAACATTTCTCGTGAAGCGTGCACACCCACACCCACACCCACACCCACACCCACACCCACACGCACACGCACATGCACGCACACACGGCACACACACACACACACACACACACACACACACACACACACACACACACACACACACACACACACACACACATACACACACGCACACCACACGCACACGCACACGCACACACACACACAAACGCACACACACCAGCAACCAGCATGGCGCTGGGCGGCCACCCACCGGGAACAGTTTGAAGATGGGCACGCGCAGGGCGCGGCGCTGGGAGCCGTCGGCGTCGCCTCGGCGGCAGCGCGGCACCGGCAGCGTGACGTTACGCAGGTACTGGCTGCACAGAATCACCACCAACATCGTTCTGGTGACATCACAGGTCACGGGTCACCGACGCGCAACGGACGCGGACGGAAGATATACGCAGCGTATAATCAGATGAATTATGGCATGCCATATGGCATGCGTACCAGTGATGGATAGGTGCCGCTTATGTCGAATTAGGTTCCATTGTTTGCAAGGATATCTATTTTCAGGGCTCAGCTAGGCACCCATTTTCTTTCCAGTCAATCTCCATCGACCATTAATTTATCCCCTTGAGTTTGCTCGATCATTTTCAACATATGACTCAGGAAGTGCAGGATATGACTCAAGCAGCGCTTATGCCCAGCGCAGCGCTGCTTAGTCGGATTGCTGCTGGTGAGGCTGGCGTTGCCAGACGGACGGACCGGCCGCCAGAGGCACCTCCTATACAGCAGTCACTAGGGCCACCTATATTCGCGCACCAGCACCAATCTCTCCTCTAGTCACTATCAGGGCACGGGTCTAGTGTAAATCCCAAACCATGAGCCCGAGTCCGAGTCACGATATGAGTTCGAGTCCGAGTCGCGATATGAGTCCGAGTCCGAGTCACGATATCTTTGGCTTGTGTCCGGGCACCGAGTCACTGAGTCCGAGTCATCCAGTCCACCCTAAGCACGTATGTGGTCAGGGCCAGCTGGTTCCACGCCTCACCAGCCAGACCGAGTCCCGCATCCTGGATGAGATTAACTCCGACCCGAACATAACCACAGCGACATGAAACTAGCACATAAAACTCTATGCAACACAACAGGTGCACCAATGCCCTGCTATCCATACCGGACATCATCTCATCAACCTTAGATATCCATGTTTTGATATCAGAATGTGCCCTTCAAATTTGTTCGGAACTTGAAGGAAATGACGATTCAGTTCGAGTTCCGTTAGGGCTAAGAATATTCCAAGCCCTTATGCTCATGTCGTTGCCCGACTCATTGTTCGTTAAGCTTACTTAGTCCCAGCCTGACTGCAATATATATGCATATATGCACACACACACACACACACACACACACACATATATATATATATATATATATATATATATATATATATATATATATATATATATAGTAAGATATCTGTAACACAACCCGATTCACTTGGGCTCGAGTGTCAAAAAGATTCTGTTCGTATCGTCCATCGTATCGGAACGCCAGATGCCCGCACGTTACGTAACTGGACGTTATGTAACAAGAGTCAGCAGTGCGTCTGCAATGTGGCGGCGCTGCGCGGCGGCTGTTCCACTTCATTCCCAAGGTCGGAAAACTCAGTCAGTTAGTTGGACAGATGAGGAAGGGGTGCCATCCTTACTGCTTCGTATCAGGCAAATCGCCTTCAAGTGGACGGCAACAACTTGAGCATAGCGTAGGTCGTTAACAAGCTGTTGCCTAATTCTTCAGTTGAAACCAACCGGTTCGCGCGTTAAGTGACGTAGAAGGGTTACAGGGTTCTGCAATAGCGCATTGCAAAATCGGTATCAGCATGTAGGAAACACGTTGGAATAATTTGGTGACCTTGAATTAGTCATCACAGTCATGTGTCGTTACGCTGACTTAAGGACGAAGGCAAGGTGTGCAGTTTCCCACGCCAGCGCGCGTTCCAAAATACGGACGCTAAGCGAAGCATTCTCGACACTGTACGCCATGTTTTCTTCACTAACGGTTTTGAAAATGTGAAGCGGCTGGACAACAGCCAGCCGTCGATAGTTTTCGTGGCCCCTGCAAACATAATTTAATGTCGAGCCCTCGTCAAACCAACACTTAAAGCTGATCTCCAAACAGCCTGCCCTACCACCCTACTGCGAACCAAAATGTCTGACTACACGAACTGTGGACTACACGAACAGCAACGTCACTTAAGGCCACACCTCGGCAAACCACGAAAATTGCTCCGTCATATATATGGACCTTTCGCATGTACCAATAACATAATCGTATATCCATGCCACAAGTTAGAGGTCATGTAAGCTGAAGATCATGATACGTCATGTGATGAACGCAGAAGGCCTCAAGCTACCTTGGTGGACGGATTTTTTTATTGAGACAGCCTTACTGAGCAGGTATGTCAAAAGCTACGCATCAAAATCGCGCAAAAATATTGTACGGCCGCATCTTGCTGCCCGGTTTTCGGCTTTTGGTTTCGCACATGGGGTGAAGAATCAGAAAATGGATCGTCCCTACAGGTAGGGAAATATGGCAAGAACGTCAAGGCTGGCAGGGTTTGCGATTCTTTTAGTTGTTGGGATGTTGAACAGGCATCACGAAATATAAACATAGGTTATCTTCCACAATCGCCGATTCCAAACACTTGGCTACTCGACGTTAAACCCAATGCATGGCGCTGTTGTGCTCGCGTTTGTCTCGTTTGTACTTCTGTCCGTCCAGACGTTTCCAGATTCACAGTCCAGCTGGGTCCCATCCGCAGTCACCAAACACATCTCCAGACGTGTCCAGATTCACAGACCGGCTGGGTCCCATCCGCAGTCACCAAATACCTCTCCAGACGTGTCCAGATTCACAGACCGGCTGGGTCCCATCCGCAGTCACCAGACATCTCTCCATCTCTCCAGACGTGTTCAGACTCACAGACCGGCTGGGTCCCATCTGCAGCCATTAGTCATCTGATCAGACGTGTCCAGATTCACAGACCGGCTGGGTCCCATCCGCAGTCACCAGACATCTCTCCAGACGTGTCCAGACTCACAGACCGGCTGGGTCCCATCCCCAGTCACCAGACATCTCTCCATCTCTCCAGACGTGTCCAGATTCACAGACCGGCTGGGTCCCATCCCCAGTCACCAGACATCTCTCCAGACGTGTCCAGATTCACAGTCCGGGCACGTCCCACCCCCAGTCACCAGACATCTCTCCATCTCTCCATACGTGTTCAGACTCACAGACCGGCTGGGTCCCATCTGCAGTCATCAGCCATCTGACCAGACGTGTCCAGATTCACAGACAGGCTGGGTACCATCCGCAGCCACCAGACATCTCTCTAGACGCCTCCAGACTCACAGTCCGGGCACGTCCCATCCCCAGTCACCGGCCATGTGTCATGCCTCTACCTGGAGACGGCTGTGTGGCGCACTTTCCCACCTGGCCTCGTGAAAACTCGCAACCATCACAGCCGAGTCACGCTACAACATCTTCTGCGTTACAGAGGGTATATAAAGTGAAAATACAGCAGTAGGTTATGCGATCCAGATGTCTCTCGGCAAAGCGAGCCCGCAGGAGGCAGCCGGAAAGTTTTGCAACCTCATTCCCTGCTTTCTTTTGTAGAGAAGTTGTGATGCCACAACATCCATCTAACGTTGGCCTTCGGCCGTTTTTTTGTACCTTTCCATCTGATTCAAACATGGATGACTAGTCTGGAATTGGTATATACAACTAGGCTGTAAGAAACGTCATCGCAGTGAACGCACTAACCGGAGAGTGAAGTAAATATTTACTAGTCAAGTTCTGTCAGCTAGTTCAAACAATTCGGCCGTCTTTATCTCGTCTTTCAAATTGTTCAGCGTCACCTAGGGTCAGGCAGCTTCGGCCGTCTGTACCACTCACAGTACGGAGACACCCCAGTGGGTGGCGGCCTTCTTCTTGGCCTCTTGGAACAGGGCCAGGCCGACCATGGCGATTGTGGGCACGATGGTGAGCGGCGTGATGATCTTCAACAGCAGGCCAATCACCCCTGCGGACGGAGGTCAGTCAGGAGTGAGACCCGACAGAGAAGCTGCCCGGCATCAGTCGAGGAGCCACCCGCCAGCTGGCAGGCCCATGATAGCGCATGAGAGTTAGGTGTTGCGTTCACAAAAAACGAGATGTGTTTCCCAGTTCAAATGTTTGGCCGCGATAATGTTCTTTTCACAACTAAACATGCCGATGATTAAGGTAACTATTCGAGTTGTGGTCAAACCTTCCCGGTTGCAAAGGCGCTCTCTCCCTTCGTGACACAAAAACGAGTCCAGTGATGGATTTCGCGTACCGCCGAAGGAGAGCACGATCTGGAAGATGGCCGACACTGCAATGGCGCCCTGGACCTCGCGCATGCGCGACGACCAGAGCTCGTAGCGCTCGTCGTCCGAGAGCAGCGCCCGCATCGCCGGGTCGGGGCACTTCCACTGCGGCAGGCTCAGCAGCGTCAGCGTCGGCGTCAAGAAGGAGAAGTTGCCGCCCTGAACGATCGACAGCCTGCAGAGAGCGCCGCGGCGTCAGATCAGGCGCCAATGTTGGCGTGGCAGCGGCGCCAGACGACGGTGACACGATCGGAGCGGCAGCGGCGCCAAACGACGACGCTGTCGACCGGGCTGCGAATGGTGAAGACGGTCTTACAGGACATATTCAGTGCTACCACCGAATATGTCCTAACAAGGTCGCCCGTATTCTGTTCGCGCGCGACTCCCGGCCAGCCGTTGGATGCCGGTCCTACCCTAGACATCTCAACATACGTTAAAAAATAGAAAAACATCGGCATGTAAAACAACCGCGTGTATGTGCGGCAGGTATGGCCATTGCCGTTGAAATCCAATCGTAGAACGGAAAGTTGTTGTACAACAGGCAGTAAGCATCGAGCTCGCACTATTTCACTTGTGAGTCCAAAGCAGTGGCGCAGCCAGCGATGGTGGGGGAAGGGGGAGGGCTGATGGGGCTCAAGATCTCTTCGTCACGCTCGGCGTCGCTTTTTTAATACGATGCTACTGAGTGCAACTGCAATTTGGTCATCAGGAACCAACTTGTTTTTAAATCTTACAGACACTACCATGGGCAGCGACATGTAGCCAAACAGTCATAATTTAGAAACGAGACCAACGAATAGCTGAGTCAACACGTGCGATACGCAGATGAAACAATTGCTTTAGGCACCAGGACAAACCAGCATCGGTAGCTCATTGATACGCTAGGTGTTGTACCTATCAGCGTTTGTGAGTCCGTTAATGTGTTCGAAATACGTAAGTACTGTCGATGGGCTGCAACTCGCTCGTCAAAATTTGTCCCCGCGTCGAAAATCGTGGTGCCTCCCTCCCCTCGCCCCCGCCATGAATCCTGACTGCGCCCCAGATGACAGTGATACCGATGAGCTCACGTCTTCTCCTCAACAATCGCTTGTTGTTTTTGATAAGCGAGGGGAAAAATGCATCCCGAAGAAAATATGCGAGCGATATTCGTACTTACTCGATATAACTCACGCATACAGCATAGCACATACACATACAGCACACATACACTTGTGCCGCCAAGCGATCTCGTCGTGCACACAAATCATCGCCACAAAATACCAAGCACTGTACGTGATACTCAGAAAGGGCTGTTGTCGCGTGACTTCCCACCTGACGCCGAACGTGACTTGCAGTAGAGTGACGATGCCGGAAACAAAGAGAATAGTGCCGATCACGTAGCCCCGAGCAGGGTCGCTCTCGTCCATACACATGCTTGGCGTGATGATCAGGGGGATGGAGACGGTGCTTCCGAACATCGTCAGGTATTGCTGCCAGACAGAGGCGGATGGCGAAGTGGAGGGGTTCAAGCTGGACATGGCAACTAACACTGCTGTCAGACGGAAGTGATGAACATCAGAACAGAATGTCAGACTGGCTACAGTAGGTGAGGAAATAAATACAACAGTGACAGAGCACACTCAATGCATTCTCGACAGACATAAACGCATTTTTTGTCGAACTATGTGTTGTCGCGAAAACGCATCCACGCACCTCATGCGTATGACTGGGACTAGCATGCCGCACGTCCAATACCTGAACATTCAATACCAGTGGCATGACGAGTAATTAAAGCCTTTTAATGCTGTTTGCTGTCTGAAACGGAGAAGTATATCAAAGAAGATATCGCATTTGTCGATGATGGCTGAAGATCGAAGACTGACGACGAAGAAGACGAATGATAACGAAGACTGTTGACCGAAAATACCAAAATCTTCATGGTGGTACCTGGCCATGGGGTTTCCAGTCCTTCACGCATGACACCCGTTGGGCGTTAGTGGCAGTTTCAGTCAACGAAGGATACGGCAGGCATGAAATGTTTGATGTTTCTGCCCATTCGCTTCGAGCACCGACGACATTCATGATCCCTTATCCAGGTCATACGACTATATTGGGACTGCGCAACGCGACGAAACGCCCGTCGGTGCAGTTATATCATATTGCAATGATATATACTCTAATTATAGAGTACAAATGGGCACAGCAGCCGAAGCGCTGTTCAGTAGCAGCCGAATAGCAAAAGCCGAATACAATTACAGAAGACGTTGTGGTCGGCGACAGCTATTTTGGAGCATCGTTGTTTTACCTGCGTCCTGCACGGCCATTACCACGGTCAGCAATCATTTTCGAGAGCCGGCGGGGCTAAGCAAAAACGTAATTATTCCGAGTTATTAAAAATACCACTTAAAAAACAATCGGGGCCTCTCTCGGTTCATCGATGTCTTTCCCAACAGATTCTCCCTACCACGGCCAGTGACGAAGAAACACCATGAAATAGCCATATCACAACTAGCGCTGTGCAGATCTAAGACACCTACAGCACAGGGCTCATCTCAGTCATTTGAAACTCGAACTGACTTACCTGAAATCCCAGAACTACGCAGTAGTACCATGGTGGCGTGTCATCTACTTCGAACAGCATGTCCAGCTTCTCGCCGCGAGGTGTACCTCGCGCCTCCTGGTCCTCGCTGCCCTTCCCCATTTCATGGTGGGTGTTCGGATCCAGCTGAAATACATCAACGAATGCTATCGATGCATAAGGACACAAGCAGCAGCATGTTATGACCCAGCTTTTCCTAGCTTTCATGATCGCATCACCTTCAATCGCAGGAGCATTCCGGGGGTGAATCCAAGACTTCACGAAACTCCCTTTGTTTCAAAGCAACATCAACAATGCGTGCTGCAATTGCGCCACCTTTTTACATGCGATATGAAAACATCTCGTGTTTCAATTATCTTGTGGTAACGTCTCTGCCTCGGGTTTGATTTGTTGACACTTAATCTCATGCATCTTAAAAGGAATGTTTCACATTTGTGCGGCGATGTGAGCTGAGGCGGACATTTTGAAGATCATTCAGTGCAGTTCACATTCATGCCCTTTTTAGGACTTCATATCCTCTTGTTTCTGAGTTCGACGACCCCGGACTTGTACAGACTGTTTCGCGTATGCTATTTCAAAGTCACTCAGACATGCATGACGCTACAGACACGTCACGCGAATACCGCCACCTCAATGGCCATGCAGTGCTTCAAGGTCAATACCAATATGATCATCAAATTATTGGCGCCTGGCGTACGTCAGCACGATTTGTGACAGCAACGAATATCAGTTGGCCTTGAACCGAGCATCCCACCTTTGGCATGTATTTCAAAAACAATCTGGTGAGTCCTTAGGACATGGCATTAATCTAAATAACATTGGTGAGTGGAACTGCATCGTCAACAGGATATTGTGCAAGTATTAATTCTGCTCATTTTCCGGTCATATCACGTGGTCAACACTTCAGACCAGGACTAAGATTCTTTCTTCTTTCGTCATACGGTGCCAGTGCGTCCTCGAGAAAATTTAGTGCCAATGCTTACTAATCGGGACAGGTTTTTAGCAACTGACTGCAATGCTATATGCTGACCGCGTTATTTGGACTAAAAAATAGACAGCATTAATTGATGCATAGTATCCCGTTGGCAATGCAGTTCCCTTCCCCAGTGCTGTTAAGATTAATCGCAGATCCCGACAGTTCACTCGGTCATGACCCTATTCCTGGAGGCAGACTCGCCTTGTTAGGAGCATAGAATTGTATGACAAGACGTAAAACACAATAAGAAACTCAAGATTTTTACATTAGCCCGAAATGTGGGGTATATTTTTAACGTATTTTATAGTTTGCTTACACATTGTAAAGTGAGCTATCTAACATCTCTAGTCAAGTTTTCTACAAAAGATAGCGTCTTGTATCGGCCATTGCATGAAACCATTTGCGTCATTCCATCTTACAGTTGTATACTTAATAATACCTTAGCATTCGATATAACTATGTTCGATGCAATTTTAAAAGTGTGGATTTCTACGCAACGTCACTGATTTGACCCAAATTTTGATGGGCTGCAAGAAGTTGATTGTAAAATGTAGTCGGCACGTCAATGTTTTATGCTAGGTGGGATCGAATTTTCGGGGTACCACAAACAGGCCAATAATACCAGTCTTCTGGAAATCCTTCTGAGCAGCTCAGAATTCCGATCTGAAGTAGCGGACCCTGCTGGAGAAATTTAATTTGACTCTCTACTCACCATCATGAAAGCAATGCATTTCATTTGTGTTGCTTTTCGGATGTGTGTGGCACGTAATGTTTGCAACGTACTAATGTGTCGGAATATTTGTGTAGTAAATGCTACGAAGGCTTGAAACACTCTATTTAGACAAAACAAGATAAGCGAACACGAAGCTTTTACCTGCGAACTCAACGAAATGCTATATTATGGTTTTGGGTCGTCCCATATGACGTTTGTAACATTAATCTTTTCGGAGCGCATTTTGGTTTTGGGACTGAGAGTAACGCATGGATCATGGACGCAGTGGTTCAAACTTAAACCAACCAACTTCTCGATAACACGCCACCACTCGCTGAGTCAATCCGACATTTTTTTCATTCGCACCAGTCGAAGTGCGCACGGTCGATGTCATCACAACGGCTGGTCGTGACGGCGGGAAAGAAGCGCAGTGTTGTCACAAAGCACTGACAGCGTAAGTTGCATTCAGAAATATTTAGAAATGATATCCATAAAAGTCTTGAAGGTGCTGCAGTGGCGGTAAAGAATTACTCTTCTCTGCTCCCGGACCTTTCACTTTCGCTTGCGACTGTTCTTGGTCGTCTGGAAGCCCAAACACGTTCAATTTTGTTGCGTTTTGTGATAAAAAGCTGCGTCTTTCGGCAAGCTATGGGCTCCTTCGCAGCCTTCTAGCTATGCCCCCTTAGTGGCCCAAGGAGGGACCATGGCTCCGTGCCCCCTACCCCCTCTGGATCCGCCAAAGGCGCACCTGGCAAACATTGTGTTCATTTACTGCTTGGAGGTTTTCAGTGGTTGATGTTCATGTTGAATGACAACCACTGACTGCTGCCCGTGACAAGCTGTTTCAACAAGACGTGGAGGTGTTGTTCTGACATAGCCTGACCTAACCTAACCTAACCTAACCTAACCTGACCTGACCTGACCTGACCTGACCTGACCTGACCTGACCTGACCTGGCCTGACCTAACTAACCTAATCTAACCCTAACTAACACAACCTAACCTAACCAAACCAAACCTAACCTAACCTAACCTAACCTAACCTAACCTAACCTAACCTAACCTAACCTAACCTAACCTAACCTAACCTAACCTAACCTAACCTAACCTAACCAAACCTAACCTAGCCTAACCTAAGCTAATCTAACCTAATAACCTATCCTTACCTAACCTAACCTAACCTAACCTAAGCTAATCTAACCTAATAACTTATCCTAACCAAAACTAACCTAATCAACCTTACTTTTATGCAACATTTTGGAAAACCCGCCTTCGCATGTTGAATGGAACATTTTGAACATCTTGGTAATCATTTAAACATTGTGAACATCTTGCTAATCATTTAAACAATTTTCAATCTCCGCACATGTGACTCTGTTACAGATCACTGTTCGCACACTTGTTTGTGCAATGGGCCATGCTGGCATTACGTACAGGCAAAGCAAACTGAACAGAAAAGCAGAATAAACCCATATGCTCAATTCATTCAATCATTGTTAGGTTTACCACGATGGTACGAATAAGTTAATAACGCCATGATAACGATGTTTAGGGTAGGTAGTGAGTGAGTTAATGCAACGTAAAGCTGGTACGCTCAGGATGGAATATTCTGTAGCAGTAGAACCAAATATCTTCATTTAAATTACGTGGTGCTTACATCTACCATGATGGTGGTAGTGGGAACATGTTGCATTGGTATGTTGGTTAGGTAAGAATGTTGGCGGTAGATATCATCGTTTGCAATTATCACAACGCACAGCGTGAGCATTTGACGAGCAGTGCTTTGGTGGAACCTGTGCTTCACTAAACCAGCTGATATGACGATAGTGTATACCTGCCTTATAAACGCAATCTTGGACGGAACAAGCGTTCAAATAAACTATGCTTTACAAGGCCATAGAACCCTTCGAACAGTCGCTACGCTATACGCCACAAGGAAAAATTCAAACGCATAGTGAAACGTTTCGTTTAATTGCTGTGAGAAAGGCCACATCATTGTTAGCACATTTCCCTAAATGGACGGCTTCATGCTCTCACACCATTTGTTGCGTATGAGTTTTTACGAATTGGTGTGCTGAAGATATCGCATAACGCACGTTGGGAAAAGCCAGACAAAAAACTTATTTAAATACATTTCCGAGTTTTCCAGAAGAATTTTGAGAAATTGGTATCATCGATAAAATCGGAATCCTGCGATCTAATCATGCACGCAAAAAATTAAAGTGTGAAAAATCCAAAAAGCTGGCTACTCCCTTTCATGCAAGTTTTGAACGCGAATCACGATTTGTGCCATGCCACATCATACAGGAATTTGGGCGGTGCTTCCTGTGGTGAATAAAAGAACACTAAGAATCGAATAACATAAGACTAGTGTCATATCAGGGTATGTTGATGCAAGTTGAAAACTTACAAGAAACGCTGACAAATAAACAAAAACATCACGAGAAAGTGCCAAAACACAAGTATATAACGACATTTGGGTTCAGAAAAAACCCTCCCCCACCTCTTGGCAATTTTATTTGCTTCAAATGAGTCAGCCCGTCCACTACAGCAGCAGTTCTTACCAGTACAGCAGCAGTTATGACACGATTAGTCTGGCAGCGACTCTAACATCATAAACATGTTCTATAATATCATCAAACGATGACGTGTTTAAGAACATATTTACTAAATACATAAGTTGTGTTATCTAAAGCAGCCTTTCTCACTGAAAGGCAAACAAATAGTCACAAGTGAGTTCCCTCCATCATATCTGAAGCTAACCTCAAATTCTTCTCATGTGGAATATCCCTTTTAAAGATGGTGTTCCACATTTGTGTTGGGTTTTGAACTGAAATAGCCATCTTGAAGATCATTCAGTGCTTTTCGCAGCCGTACCTTTCTTGAGGCCCAAACGCCTGTAGTCTCTGAGCCACACACCCGCAAAGATGTGCAGACTATTTTGGAAAGACTGCTTCAAGGTCACTCAGGCAGCGATGACACCATAATAAAAAATCCTGTCATTCCACCAGCTATGCGACGGTCAATGCGAATAAAAATGCAATTGTCGAGTCGTTCATACCTGGCGTTCGTGGGCACAATTCCCAGACAAAACGGTCGTCAATTGGCTCTAAATCAATGTTGTGCAAGGTATGATAACGCAATCAAACAACGAGGTCTTTAGGGAGCATATTTGCCAGACAGAAAATTCGTATTGTCTAGAGCAGTCTTTTCACTTAAAAGTATACCCATGTTTAGAACTGAGCTTATTTCATCATATCTGATACTTGCCTCAATATCTTAAAATGTGGAACATTTCCTTTACGTGAACGGACCAACCTAACGCTCGGTGATTCTCAACATCTACGCACCATTATTTCGCATCAGCCGTGTTGGCCAGGGTAACAAAAGCGCTCACAGCATGAACAGCGCTCTGCCATCGGCAGCTTGACCATGGACAGGTGCACATCAACTGCCGCGCGGAGCGTGGCCATGGCAAGATGACGTCACGCCTGGTCGGGCGCGCGACCTTGGCTGGCAACGCTCTCGCGCTCGCCCGGCGCGACGGCTCGCCCCAAGGTCACACCTCCATCCGGTGAATGTTCAGAGCCGCGACCGTGTCCCTGGCCGCCTGGCCGCTCCCGGGCCTGCATACGACCGGTCGATGCTGCCGTGTCCCGGAAGACAAACTCACAGCGCCCGACACAAACCTGCTTTCGCGGCCGGTCGAGACACAGCCTGTCTTGTGCCCCCGCACGAGACAGGCCGTCACCCGCCGTAGAATAAGATTGATACGGCTAGGTGAACGGACTTACGCATAGTTGTCCTTTCTGTGATTTGAATCAACGGCGAAAAAACGAAGATGAGAGCTGAGCGGGGAGTCACTCTAAATACGTTCTGAGGAGCCTGAGCGCCCCCCCCCCCCCCCCCCTCCCATCCCCTAATGACCCCCTGAGCCTCCTCAATGCATATGAGCATTTTCACGCGCGGGAACGTCGCAGGAAGCAGGAAAACGTTGAGCGAACGTCGCAGGAAGTGGGAAAACGTTGCGGGAACGTCGCAGGAAGCAGGAAAGCGTTGCGGAAACATCTAAGGAAAACCAGAACTAGCCAACTAGCTTGTCCTCAAATGACCTAAAACCATTAGGACACAGCTTATGCGAATTACGCTTCTCGTTGCTAGTTTCTGCATGGCGGGACCACCACTGACTGGAGCTACGATATGAGCCTGTTACAAGCGCGGCTGGTCGGGCTGGGCCGATGGCGTTCTACCACTTTGGGTTAGTTGAGGTTGAGACGAGGTCAATCTGTGCCCTCATTCGTGATGAACGGAAACATTCACTTTGGCACCGCAATGTGATGAAAAGGCGGACGAAGAGAGACTGGCCGACTGCGCCACAGTCATTAGCGAACCCGCTCAGCTCATGCCCACTGCAATCCAGCCAACCCTCGACCCAGAGCGTGTCACTGGCACACAGTGACAGGCAACAGTAGCCCGTTACTGACCCGTTACTGACCCAACAGATACCCGCCGTCGGAGTGGCATCCTTGTACGCGAACGTACCTGCAACAATCTTAGACACATGGCGATGAATGAAAAAATAACCTCCAGAACTCACAATTACCTTACAGGTACCAAATTGACTTAATGAAGTGTCGTCCCCATCCTGCCGCTCTGGTCGTAGAGCGCTCACACCCATTATCAACCCAACCGTGCCCCAAATGCCAGTTGGTCCGTTTTATCTGGAGTCACGTGCTCCGCCGTAACGCCGTCACTCGGCGGCGACCCGGCGGTTGAGGCCGGTTCGCCTCGGCCATACGCACCTCGTGGTCCGTGACCTCCATCGCTGGGGTGTCACGCTGGACTGGCCGTCTCCCTGCAATGAACGAACCCAATTCACTGTCAAACGCCAACTCACGGGATATTGTCAATGATGCCGTTCATGACAAATATCAGTCGCATCAACGAGTGAACGGGAAATGACTGCGAACACGGCCTCACCGTCAATGGCTAGGAGACCGAAACGAAAAGTACGAGACATGCACCCTCGGGCGGCCGACCTTTGTGCAAAACCGAACACATTAAGATAGTGTTATGTTCATACCCGATGCATTTTTTTTTAACGCGCAGACTAGCATACCCTTGCAGGGTATGCACACACAAATGTAACACACATTTACGCCAGTGCTCGAGCGCCGTCTGGTTGCATGTATGTACATCGTCACATCTTGCAGAAATATGGTTAAAAAAATCCGGAAATCCGACGCTACAAGATGATGCTATAAGACAGATGCTACAATACCAGATCGATCGACCGACTGGACCGGGCTCAGCTGGATCCTGCCAGCGTGAGAACCTCATCCAGGGTAAATACGAGAGTCACCTCAGGCTCGGCTCGGCTGAACCGCGGCACACGACGGCTCGCTGAAGTGGCTGCGTTCAACTCGCTGACTGAGCACAGACGCGATGTGTTGCGATATTTTAATGACAGATTGAAGTTTGGTCTATGACTTGGCTACCGCGAGTGATAAATGGGCAGCGTGGTCATCAGCGTGATGACCCTGTATCAGTCATCACATGACGCTGATCAAGATCAAGACAAGACGTCGCCCGCTCCCGTGGATGGACAATACACGGGACAGGGTCACAATGTGCGGACGAGACGAGGCACGTGCTCAGCGCGACAAGGACCCGTGCAGCGACACACATGCACAATATCGTGTGCGTCGCAGAGCGAGAGAGGGCCTAGTACCGTGTCCTCGCTTGCCTCCCCCGCGACATCCAATGGGTATTCCAGGTTTTTTATTTAAGCCCTTTTGACTAGAAATGATAATTTCAACCTATGGCATGAAGGTAAGTGCTTAACGGTGGGGGCTACTTGCATGCGCCTGGGAGGCCAACCTCCGAGCTTTGAACCGCGCATGCGCGCTGGGTACCCGGTCGCGTCCCTCTGCGGACGGGGCTCTCGGCCCACTCGTGGCTGAAGCATGCAGCCTGCCCCGCACAAGCAGGGTGTCGCGAGGATTCATGATGAAGCAAGACTGAAGATGGAAAAATATCCGGCGTTTCATGATCTCATTCAACGAGTCGAAACCAGCTTCTTCTCCAACTGAGCAGGCGCCTGCCACTCAGCGCCAGCAGTCAAGCGCTGTCATGCACGCATCTGCCGCGTCCCGAAATTGGCGCAGAGGCTAACGGAGAACGCTAAAACAGACTTATCAAAGCTTTTGACCCTCCCTATTCACAACATTGCTTCACTGTGTGGGGAAGCGGCCGCAATGCTCAGCTGTAACGCATTAAAAAAGTATACACGCCCAAATGTTCATGTTTCTCCCGTTGTTGACATTTAAGCTCATCCGAGCTGAGCTTACATGCCAACAATTTGACCGGCTTTTAACTGAACGAGACTTGGTGACAATGCATAGAGCTCTGCACACGCCTCGCTCACTGACATCTCTGAAGGAACGTGCGCTGTACTGCGATGCAGTGTCAGCCCGTGTCACGCGTGGCACTACCGAAAGCCTCCCAGAGCCGCACGGGGTGCGTACGGAGATAGCCCGTCGGAGTCCTGCCTCCCGGGCCGCGTCAACGCGGGACAGGTTTCTTGCGGTGGTACGGGAAGCGGCAAGCCCCGATTGCCTGTACCCGGCCAGTTCGGCGATATGTGTCTTATTGCCAGTGTGTCTTCTAGTAAGGATTCGCGTGCGACCATGCGTGCATGCGTGTGCAGGTACGTGTACGTGTGCGTGCGCGTGTGCGTGTACGTGTGCGTGCGCGTGTGCGTGTGCGTGCGCGTGCGCGTGCGCGCGCGCGTATGTGTATGTACGCCCTTTTCTGCATTTTTCCCAGTATGCCTGTGTTCTAAGAAAGGACATTCTATGCCTTTGACATTTGACATTTCACAGGACTGTGAGCTCTGCAAGCAACGAGCGTGCGAGGCAACGTTCCTAGAACAAGCATAACAAGTTGTCCTCCAAGCTATAAATAGACACAAACCAACCGGCCAACCTCCACGTGGCATTCCAGGTCTGCGCTAATAACAGATCACTCTAACACAAAAATCATGAACAGCCGCCAGAGCGTCAAGCTTATAAAAGCGCTTTTTCCCAGAACTTAAGGAATGAGATTGCGGTTGGATGTGCGCCGTTCAGCGTCAGATAAACCGCCGAGCTAGCTCGCTGCCGAAGAGTATGGCGAGTCTGCGACTTGATACCTACATGCACTGTATGGTGATTGCATGTTTACTTCTCTCATACGTAATTCGATGTTAAATAGCCACGGTTGCAAGATATTTTAATCATTCAACTATGTTTCCTGTATCTCCACAATGTGGCTGTTCTGGCAGCGCTTCAAGTGTGGCAGACGTACACACGCGCACGCACACACGTACACGTGGGCGTGGGGGTGTGTGTGGGCGTGGGCGTGGGCGTGGGCGTGGGCGTGGGCGTGGGCGTGGACGTGGGCGTGGGCGTGGGCGCAATCTCCGCAATCCGCAATCTCACCTCCCTAAGTTTGGGAAAAAACGCTTTTATAAGTTGTATGATGTTTTAAGCCCATGCCCGCGCGCGCGCACGCACGCACGCACGCACGCACGCACGCACGCACGTACATACGTACGTACGCACCCACGCACGCACGAACGCGCACGCGCGCACGAACGCGCGCGCGTACACACACACACACACACACACACACACACACACACACACACACACACACACACACACACACACACACACACACACACACACACACACACACACACACACACACACACACACACACACACACCTATCACATCCTTATCACGTTATCACGTTACGGTTTTTCATTATCAACAAGTTTTAATAACCGTTTTGATGGTTTTCCTACCCGGCAGGAAACAAAGCAAAGGACCTGTGCTGTTTCTATGTTTGGACATATGCTTTGTAAGGAACATCCGCAACAGCGCCCAAGGCCGGCTTGCCGTATCCATAAAGGCGTCACTGGACTGCCACTAAGCAACAGGGTCTAAACGTTCGACGCCCCTTATTGTGGATCACAGCCTGGTACAGGAGCTGCTCCAGTTGGGCCAGTTGTTGCGCAATGGTCAGCAGCTCTGGCGCCATGTGCAATATATTGCATCAGACGGGCACCTGACCTGACCATATTGCACCTGACCGGCACGCACCGGTCGGCGTCGCGGGCCGCCTTCTGCCAGCCATGCTTTCTCACGCGGTGCGCAACGGCGGCATTGGTGGTGGAAATTACAGCGCGACTTGCCCGAGGGTGGTAACGTAATGTCATGGCAGATTTTGACACAACATATAACAAGTTTCACCATTCTGAACTTCCGCACCAAACGGCATGTCATAGGAAAACCACATTGGCGCGTAGGGGGCACTGTGTTATTACCACGTCAAGTGGTACCTATCCCCACTTTGTTCTGCGCGTGCAGTGCTTTTACACAGCTCACATCCGTGTAGACGAATTAAATCGGAAATCTAGAAAATACTCCGAGTCCGGGCCACTACCAAAAGCAAAGGCCCTCGGGAAAACTGCGAGCCCAGGGCGACTGTGGGCGACACTGAGCGATCCGTGGTACAGAGGCAGGCCGACGCAGGGCGTGGTACAGAGGCAGGCCGACGCAGGGTGTGTACCGGCAGGCCAACACAGGGCGTGGTACAGAGGCAGAGGCATGCCGCACGGTGTAGTACAGATGAGGACAGACGCGTGTGTAGTACAAGAGGGCATGAGGCAGCGCAGGGCGTGGTAAAGAGGGCAGGCCGGCGGCAGGTGTTGGTACAGAGGCCAGGCCGACGCAAAGGGTGTTGGTTCAGAGCAGGCCGACGCAGGTTGTGGTACAGAGTCCAGGCCTGACGCAGGGTGTGTTACAAGAGGCAGGTCACGCAGGGTGTGGTACAAGCAAGGCCGACGCAGGGCGGTGGTACAGAGGCAGGCCACGCAGGGCGCCGGCGCAGGGTGTGGTACAGAGGCAGGCCGACGCAGGGTGTGGTACAGAGGCAGGCCGACGCAGGGTGTGGTACAGAGGCAGGCCGACGCAGGGTGTGGTACAGAGGCAGGTCGACGCAGGGTGTGGTACAGAGGCAGGCCGACGCAGGGCGTGGTACAGAGGCAGGCCGACGCAGGGCGTGGTACAGAGGCAGGCCGGCGCAGGGTGTGGTACAGAGGCAGGCCGACGCAGGGTGTGGTACAGAGGCAGGCCGACGCAGGGCGTGGTACAGAGGCAGGCCGACGCAGGGTGTGGTACAGAGGCAGGCCGACACAGGGTGTGGTACAGAGGCAGGCCGACGCAGGGTGTGGTACAGAGGCAGGCCGACGCAGGGGTCTCCGGCTGGCGTCGGTAGATCCTCCGAGGAAACGGAACGGGAGGAACCGAAGACCAAGGTGCTAGACCCTGAACGGTATCAGTATCAGTATATTACAAACCATCCATATGGTGGCTTTTACGGATTCAGGTCAAGGTCTTTTTTATGTTACGTACAGGTGCCGTTTACCTAGGCACACACGACAGGCACACCATAAAATGATACGGGCAATGGTACAGTAAAATCATACAAGCAACGGTCAAGCACCTTAAACAGATCAGTGCACTATGGGCACTGGTCAGTGACCATTGGTCAAAAGTTACAACACGTATGGCGGTCTCAGGCGTGCTCACTGTCGTGGCATGACAGGCGCACGATAGCAGGCGGTTCGATGCAGCTGCGGCTCGATGCGAAAACGCCCCCTGCGTGGCGGTTAAAACGTGTCTGCGCAGATGCAGACACCTCTTTCGGAGGCGCGCGTTTCAAGCGTGGAAGCAGCGGCACGTGGCACAAAAAGCGCGCAAACCTCGTGAGACGCGCCTACCTCCTTCAGCGCCTTAAACACCTT